CCAAGACTTTAATTGGCTTCCTCTCCATCCCTTCAGTTTCTACAGCTTGACTTTACTATTAGTTCTGTTAGTCCTGAAATAGGATGGGCAGTGCAGACATTTGCATACCAATTTACATTTTCAGTGATATTTAGTTATATTTTGGAGAAAGAGTACATAGGAGAGCTGGGGGTATAGCTCAGTTGATAGAGTGCTTGCCTTGCATGCACAAGACCCTGGGTTCAATCCCCAGCACCACACACACACACACACACACACACACACAAATAGTCCATGGGAAAAACATATCCCTGACTGACTGTGAGGTTGACTAAAGTCAATCATCAGAAAATAACCTTTATCTACTCAGCTCCATGTTGGTAGAGCTGGGATGAAGAAACCAAGTGTGTGTGCAGCGCAGCCCAGCCTCCACTTAGCCTTTCTCTAGAAGCCCCTCGCCAAACATGCACTCAGAAGATTGTCATTGTAAATGATCAACCAAATAAGTGCCCATAAGGATGGGTTACAGATCTTCTTACCTGAAAGAAATTTTATGGAACTATATACATTTAAATAGCAGGTTAGATGCAAGAGTTTTTCAAAGGCTAACCTGGTAAACTCCTGATTATATAATATTGAAGAAAATAAGATGATCATATTTCATTGCAAAACCACTGCCAACACATTCACGTACATTAATATGTATTCCATGCATCATAATCTCTCACCAAAGACATTTTACTAATGAATGATTTAAAGTAATATCAGCACAATTAAAAAAAAACTTCAAATAATGGTATAATGGGCACACCCCACATCATTTTTGCAAAAAAAAAAAAAAAAAAAAAACCTTTGGCATAAAATCTGCCACAAATGCCCAGTGTGGTGGTACATGCCTGTAATCCCAGTGGCTTGGGAGGCTGAGACAGGATGATCATGAGTTCAAAGCCAGCCTAAGCAACAGTGAGGAGCTAAGTAACTCAGTGAGACCCTGTCTCTAAATAAAAAAATACAAAATAGATCTGGGGATGTGGCTGAGTCGCTGAGTGCCTCTAAATTCAATCCCTGGTACCCACCCACCCCTCAAAAATATCTGCCACAATTATGTAATGAAATACAGGTATACATAAATAAAATCTTTAGAAGCTCAAAGCCTTTATCATTTTAAGCTGAAATTTCTACTTCAAACATTTTTTAAAATGTGGATAAAAATAACTCAGAAAATAGTGTACTCTTCTCTACCTATTTAACATAYAGGATATATTGTCTTAATGACTCAAAGCCATCATTTTAGTATTAATTTCTGTTCAAGTTTGTAATAAAATGTTGAGTTTAAGTTTACTAAGGTTTTATTAGCATCAGTTCCTCTTAATACAAGATAATTCCAGATAATTATTTTTATTTATATATATATATATATTTTATTTATACTTATTTATTTTATTTGTGTGTTTATATATATGTATTTGTAAATAGCTATTATTTATTGTTTCTATTTATTTCTTCCTCTCCATATTTCATGCCTGAGTGTTGACTGTATACTTATGGCTGCAGATTAATATAGCAAGTAAACATTCTTTTTTAGAGTTTTGTCTAAAATAACAATAAATGGATGATTAAAAAATTATGTAGTCTCCTTACATTAAAAAACCCTTAGTGTATAATTTTCTAATATTTATGATGTATGTTCAGAGGCCTTTTGCCTTATTTCTGGGTTCTTTATTGGGCAGCAAGGAGTTCAGATTGCTGTGACTGAGTGTAGGTTTAGAAACCACAGTATTGGGGACCAACTGAGAAGAGGCAACAAGCAAAGCTCCCTGCTCCCTATAGCTGGACTGTCAATTCAGGGACTGCACAGAGGTATGTCCTGAGAATGTGTGCACCCTGCAGTTGGGAGCACAACAGCCACAGTCTCAAATTCTGACTTACATCTGTTACAGGATCATTTTTTAAGGTCATATAGCCCTTAACTTCATTAATTTCATTCTCTCACAATTATCTCTTAAATCGCTTCCATTTTTTAAAAGTTTAAGAATATTGGTATTTACCTTAGAGTGTATTCTGCCCTTTTCAGTACATAGGCAATTGTTCATTCACATTCATGCTTCCTGAAGAAAAATTTAGTCTAATGAAGAATTAAATTTTTGTGCAGTTATTATGCATGCATACCATGTATCAGTTTTTACCATCCAGTTCATTCCAGTTTTCTGAAAACTCTTTTGAGTACATAGAGTTTGAATATTTAAGTGAATTCTTACTGCTGCATTAGGTATAAGGGCAATTCAGAGCCCTTTTAGATGCCCTTTAATCACGGCTTCTGCTTTCTGTTTATTGGTGTTAATTTTTCTATCAGTATCTGTTAATAACAGATGGTCAATATTGTGTTGCACTTGAATGTATAGAAAGGATCTTTGAGAATTGGAACATGGTAAAAATTCTTTGTTCTAGCCAATGAGCATGCAATATATCTAAAGAAGTATAAAAATTACTTTCCTAGATTTTTTAATGTGCAAAACTGTATCAGTCAGATATGTGACTGTTATATGTCAATCCCTTTAGATGACTCTCTTTGTATTCTTTTCCCCCTGTTTTTGTGTGTTGCATTTCCTCTTGTATTCCAAGCATTTCATATCAGTGATCATGACTCTTTTTTCTTAGCTTCTCTCTCATCACCTACACCATGATTCTTGGTAGAACTTGGTATCATGCTGTGCATCCACAGAGGCATTCCTTAATTTGATCAGATAGCAACAACATATTCCTGTGCTTTTTGATAGTAATAAAGGAGAAATGCCCAATGATGGAAGAGGGTCACCTGTCAGGCAGGAAGMTTCAACCCTTAGACTGAGCCTAAGGAGAAGAAACATTAGATAAAATAGGAATCTGAATAATTAGCTCTCTTCCTTCTCAACAGAGACCTTCCAGGCAGAATAATACTTTGTTCATCTTGATATCCACAGCAGCTGCCACTGTACTTGACAAATAATGCTCAATTATTTTCAGGTGGCAAAAAGAATGAGCCTCCTTAATAGGAGGCTATGCTCCTCCTGTTCCCCCAAACCTTCTTCTGTGGGACCTTGTTCACTATCTTTGATCTGTAGCAATCCAGAGGAGTCCCAGGTAGATATCTGTACCTCTATTTTAAAATACTTATTTTTACTATTTTTCTTGAAAGATAATAAATGCTTCCACTTTTTTTTTCATGTACCAGTACCTGCTGAGCACCTGTTATATGCTAGCAATACAGAAGAACAAAATAATATCCAGGGATACCATATGCCAGACGCTGTGTAGAAATGCCTGTGTGTTATTTACATTATCTCACTGAATGCTTAAAAACCCTGTGACGTGGGYGCTAGCCTCAATTTGAAAGTAGCATTTCAGAGATTCAAAGCTTTATTAAATTCCTTAGGATCTCATAGTTAAGAAAGAAAATTGGGATCAAACCCAAATTTTAACTACAGATGAAGTTGTGCTCTTAATTACTAGGCTCTATTTCTAGACCACAAATAAAGAAACCGAAAGTATGTAAGTTAGAACCTGAGCTGTAAGAGTAAGTCTGACAAATGTTAGACCTACCTCAGAGTGTCTCACCAGCAGAGATTTGAATGAATCCTGTACATAACTCTTCACAAGGAATCTGCAATTGTTCACCATCCACATTCATTTTCTTTTGTCCACCATCAATAYAGTAAAGACAGCACAACAATCTGCATCAGACTACTATGGACAATTCTGCCTTATTTTCCAACTAATTAATTTCTTTGTTCCTTCAAAGAATGGGTACTGAGAACCAGCTCTGCCTTTGAATAAGGTGTAGAAAATAAGACAGCCAGGAATCCTGCTGTCCTGGATGCTATGTATAGAAGTCAGGGAAGCAAAAAATGAACTTTAAAGATGATTCCAGTCAGTGATAACATTATGAAAACATGTGAAGGATCTGAGAGTGGTATGGGAATGGGATGGCAAGGGATGCTGCCTTAGAATGGATAAAAGGGGATGCCTCACAGAAGAGGGGCTGTTGGAGCTTGGTGAAAAGTCATCCAGATAAATACACAAGGGAAACAAAGGACTTGTCAAAGAAACAAGAAAATTCAAATGCACAAAAGCAGTAAGAAACTTCATTCAGTTGAGTAACAGAAAAAAAGTTTGTGTCTGTACCAGAGCTGGTGGGGGCAGAGGGAGCCAAGAAAGGAAGATGTAGAGAAAGGTAGTGTCCAGATGACATGGGTCTTTTGTGTTAGACTTTGTAGGGTATTGTCCAAACAGTCAGAGATATGAGTGGCAGGGATGCTTTTAACAAAGTGAAGCAGGAGTTTCCCAGGCACAGCAGGACTCAGTCACCCCACTATGTGTCAGTAAGGAGTCTGAATTTTATTCTGGTACAGTAATGAGCTCTTGATAGTCTGAAGCAGAAGAGTGGACATAATTTGAGTTGCATTTCATATACTATCACTTTGATATGAACCTCTGGAATGGAAGATCAATCTCAGATGCTAGTAAAGTAATCCTAGTGGTTTTAATGGTTGTGATACAGCTGAAAAGAAAGTCACTGATTTATGACATAGTTTATAAATAACATAGACAAGACCCACCCATGGGTTGGACGTAGGATTGAGGGAAAGAGCAGATTAACAGTGACTAATGGATTTTTGGCTCCAGCTTCCACGTAAATTGTGATGACACTTGTTGACTACGGAARGACCAATAGAGGGTCCAGTTTGGGAATCTGAGGGGGAATGGACAGAATCATCAGTCTGGTTTTAACTGTGTTAAGTTTGAGATTCTTGTTTTAAGTGCAAGTGGAAAATCACTTTTTTTCTTACTCCATTCCRAACTGCTTTCTTACAATGTTAATCTATATATCTCAATAAAACGTATTTAAAACAACAGTCCAATATTCAATTAGACCCATAGCCCTACATAATGGGTTAAGGCAATTTTCATTTGTCATTTTCCATTTCATTTTGTTTTCCTTATTTGGTGTTTGAAGTTGCTAACATTGCTGATTGCCTTCCTAGGAAAGCATAGACCTGGGTGAAATCATGTTTTCCCTTTGTTACTTGCCCACCGCTGGTCGTATGACATTGACCGTGATCAAGTGCAGAAATCTGAAGGCAATGGATATCACCGGCTCATCAGGTATGTACACAGTTGACCAGAGGCCAAAGCACATTCCCAAATTAAATTTGCCATGTATCTAAAATTATATATGGCTATTGAATTATTTATAATGGGGTACAATGAAAGTATAAAATTACAAATTAAAATATTCTAAAACATCTCTTTTATATACAGTATCATTATGAACTTTTAGAAGTTATTTTYAAGTAGAATGACTTTGAACTTGAGTTCTTGTTTTCATTTCTTTCCCTCCTGATTTTGTCCCATCTTAAAAATACATAACTTTTAATCTACTTCCCCAGTTTCAACTAGAATACCATATGCAGACATATTTGATTGAACTTATTGCCCTCACCTGCTCTTCAGAGGAACAACCACATTCCAAGACCATCATTTGCATTTGCATTCTTGCAACTTTTCCAATCAAAAATTTGGGCATCTGTAGGGACTGCAAGAAACAATAAGATAAATTAATGCTGTCTGAATTTTGTAAAGAAGTTCTTGAAAAAGATTCTCTTGTGCTGACTTTAATAAACAGGCAAAGCCACATAATGCACTTTTATCCTTCACTTAATTCACTGAAGCTCTCAGGGGATAATTTCTAACATAATATGTGAAAATCGGCACAGATTTGTGGAAGAAAAACAATAAAGGATGAATGGGGATGTCAGTAAACATTTGATGAATTAAATAGAAATAAGAAATCATAGTGGAAATATAACAAAGGATGATATTAGAGAGGAGGTTCTATAACTTTGTCGTTCTTCAGAACAAAAACAAGCTAAATTCACATTACCCAAAGTATAACATAACTCCAAGTTCTCGTGTGGGAAAAGCTCCAGGATCTACAAGGCACAAAAATAAATATGGAATTATGCTCACTTATGTGCAAGGATGGAGAATTTAGAACATAAATTCATACTGCCAATATTTGCATAAAAATAAGGGACTGGTACATCAACAACAATGGGTGAAAAGGGATGGGGACAGATGGGATTGTGATATTGCATGTCTCTCGMTAACATCTTGATTTTTGAACATGAATTATCTATTCATTTTCTTTTTAATTTGCAAAACATAGCATGTAGATAAAGGCAGAATAGAAAATATATTCCACATTTATTTGGGGGAAAAATTCTTGGGTCAATAAATGTAGAAGAACTTGTTTTGAACAACCAATAAAAAAAAATTCAAAAAAAATGTAGAAGAACTTAAGATAAACAGTGTACTCTGCAAATTATTGTTTACTCTTTTTACCATGTATCAAAAGAGATAAAATTTTGAGACAAACAACATTAAAGTTGTAATTAAGTGCAAGATTACTTTTTTTATTTATATGAAGCTTTTCTTTGGAGGAGCCTGTACTTGGAGAGCACCACCTCATTAATCCTCACAACAGGCTTGTGAATCAACTATGGAGCCAGTAAATTATCCTTGTCAGAAGAGAAGAAATGCAGGCAAAGGCACAGTGGGGATAAAACTATGCAAAGGATAAACTATGCCTCTTTCCCATTATTCATAGGCCTGAGGGCTCATCCTGTATCACAGAAGYAAATTTCTTTCTTGGAACATGCTTCCTATTATTTGAGAAAAAATCAAAATAGATGGGAAACAGACATTAACACTTCCCTGTTACCTTGTCATTACATACATTATTGCCAGCAGCAAAATAACTTTTTTGTTCCTTGAGGAAAATGCTTTTGAGATAKTTCAATATATTTTTCTAGAGTTTAAAAAGCACATCCTGCTCAGTAAATTAATATTTCCAACATCATTTTGTCTTATTCTAAGGAAATAATATTTATTCCTCTAGAGATAGAGAAATAGAGATGATGGAACTATCACTGCACAGTAGCCAAAAAGAGAGAGCGAGCAGCTGTGATTGTTTTACCTGTCCAGCATGCTCACCCTAACACCAGTACTGCTCTCAAAGCCATGAGACTTCTTAGAAATGCTGTAAAATGTGTAATTTTCTATAATCACATAACATTTTTTTWAAAAACTTAAGATGGTAAGGGTAAGAGAATAGGGATGAAGTTATCTGTGGAAAAACTAGTCCACAATTTTTTGTTCCATTAGGCCCATAACAATATAGTAACCTAAAATTTTCTCTTTCAAATAAACGCCACATAAACAATGTCCTATCAGAGCCTTCCTGTGACCACCTTAGAATAAATAGTGCTTTTTATTATATACCATGATGTAGCTACTAAATCTCCTTAGTGATCATTTCTTCAGTCCAAATTCATCAAGCAACAACACTATGATTAAAATGACTCTTCTAATTTTACTACCTTAACTAGCCATTGATCAAAATTCTAAGTATAATTTAGTTTTTCCTTTCTAATTTCTACTTATTGTAATTTCATATACTTGTCCAGATACAGTGCTGCTAGTCTTTCACAGGTCTTAGTTTTTTTTATTCTAAATCATTCTGAGGTAAAGAAATCTAAATACCCTTATTCTTATTTGTTTGGTTTACATCCTATAAATCACTTCTAAAAACATGTGCCCTAAAAGAGCAGTAGTCAAAAGACACATTAGAATTCTGAACTAGCTCTTGATAAACTACTGTGTTTTCTCTCCTGTATTAAAAATAATGAGGTCAAATTAGTTCTTTTTAGTTTATTCATTATAAATTGCTTACCTTTAAAATAAGAAATCTTAGATAATCTATTGAATCTATTCAATCTATTTGAACTTTAAACTAGTAAAAGGCTTGACAAACCACTTATTTAGTAAAAAGGAATTATAGTTCTATTTATATTTGATATGAATACTTTCATTTTATTAAAATTACCTTCCTACTCCTAGATCCATATGTCAAAGTATCACTGATGTGTGAGGGTCGAAGACTGAAAAAGAGAAAAACAACTACAAAGAAAAACACTCTAAACCCTGTGTACAATGAGGCTATTATTTTTGACATCCCTCCGGAGAACGTGGACCAGGTCAGCCTCTCCATTGCAGTCATGGATTATGATAGGTACGTGAACCCTCCACTCRATACAGAATAGCCACAACCAGTGCAATACTGGTCTAATTCAGTTTTTCAGGTTATTTTCTGCTACAACAGTGTTAATTTAAGTTTGAAAAGGTATAATTATTCATTTGAAATTCCTTGTTTCTTAYGTTATAGTTGTCGGGGGTTTTCGCCTGTAAAGAACTCATCCTTAAGGTTCACCTAAGGCTAGAGAGAGAACGGGTCTAGATATAGTATGTATGGAACACTTTATAGACAGCACTACWTCAAAGTCGTTCTACAGTAATAACAGAGTCCACTCAATAGCTTGTATTACTAATGGGGCTAGAATGTGAGTACCATGATGCTCAGTGGAGCTGGATCTTAACTAGCTGTGTGAAAGGGTTCATTACGTCATCCCAGTGGGATTTAGTTTGCCCATTTGTGGAACTTCGGCATGAACCAYGAACCATGGAAAGTGAATACTGGTCATTGGGAAACAGGTTCCSTATGTTCACATCTATCTAAAAACATTACTTCATTGACAGCTCCCCCAGCTCACACACATAGAGTCATCTCTTTCACAAAATAAACTGTATCAGGACAGTTTTGAAGGTTCTTCCTGCTGCAGCTCCAGCCTTCGCCCTTCCACTCTTCCCTTASTCTGAGATGGCCCTCATAGAGTGTACCTTGTTCCAAACACGCTTCATAGCCCAGCTCATGGAAGTCTTTCTCAACCGACAAAACTTCTTCCTCTGAACTCTCGTTCCACTAAAGGCTCATTTCTCTCATTTGACCCTTCCTGCATACATCTTTGGGTTGTTTTGCTTTTTATAAGATTTTTGGAAAGGAATGCTGTACGATTTAAACTACAAAACTTTCAGCATGTAAATACATTTATTTATAAGCCTTGATACATTTATTTTTAAGGATGACATAGTGGTACAGAACATATAAAAAACACACAAAAAGAATGTCCTTTTTATAGTATTATGAAAATGATGGTAAACAGGACCCTAAAAATACCTCAAATATAATTAGGTAAATTAATGTGCCATCCTCTGGCTCAGAGCTACAAAAAAAAAAATAAAGCACTAAAAATAGTATTATTTGTACCATCTATTTGAATCTGCATCAAAGGAAAAAAAACTGTGCTAACTTAGAAATTAAAACTAGTTCAAATTTCAAATTCTAAAATGTAAATGTTTTCCTCAGCAGCCCATTTTGTTTTATCAATTACCTCCATTGACTTCTCACAGCAATGAGTGCAAGTAGATACACTTGAACRTTTGTAACCCACAACTTTAAGAAAATGATCCTTATAATATACAAACAGGAAAATAAAAAATTATTTCTGAAAGATACTTGTTTGGGAAACTTCATATTAAGGGAGATCAACATGAAGCAAATCATACTAAATATACAGATCTACATTAGTAACAGGCAGAGAATAATGCAATATTCTAAAGCACCTGAAAAGTCTCTTCAGAGATATATGTAAAAATAACCCTATGGAATACCTTTTAAATCACATTGTTCTCAAGAAGAAACTTACCACATGTATTCTTGAATCAAATGCCCAGATTCAGCTCCTGCTTCTGCCTCCTACAAAGTGTGTAAGCTCACACCAGCTCCCAACCTTCTGGACATTTAGTTTATCTATAAAATAGAATAACAATTTTATCTGTAAAATATAATAAAAAATGTTATTTGTAGTAATGGGGTGGGAATYATGTGGGTCAGCACACTTAAATTACTTAGAACACTGTCTGGTACATAATAAACTTTCAAAAATGTTAAATATTATTATTTTTTATTTGTTCCTGTAAAAGCAAGGCATGAATAAAAAATAGGAATGTCATCTATCATGCTCTCTGTTGTGCAATAACAATCAAATGAAATGGAACTGAACAGAACCTGTTCTGTTTATTTGTAATACAAGCAATAATATACACTGATAGATCATTCAGAATCAATTAAATATGGTCTTTTATGCAAGAAAATGAATACCATACCTATGGTGTAAAACCTAAATGTCATTATAAAGACAGTAAGCCTTGTAAAAAGAACAGGGTTTGATTTACATCACTTAAACTTAATAGGACTGCTTCTGAAAAAGCAATGCTTCACACATGTACGGAACTAGTAGCATTGCCATTCACACTATTGTTATTACTGTGAAATGTGCTCAAATTGAAGAGCTTAAAATGATTTGTGAGTGCTTCTTATCCAAATTCATTTTCTTAAATGTTCATATCATTTAGTTAATTGTTTAGTAAATTTTTGTTTACTTAAAATTTTTCATTTGATTARAAGTGGCATATAGTAGTCCCCATTATCTGTGAGGAATATTTTACAGTATGTTCCACAGATTGCTGAAACCAATGGTAATACTAAACATGATAATACTATATATACTGTGTTTTCCTATACATACACACAGATGATTGTTTAATTTATAAATTAGGTACAGTATAAGCGAATAAGAGCAACTAATGATAAAATAGAGCAATTATAACAATGTACTATTTTAGAAGTTATTTTTTTTTCTGGAATTTTCCATCTAGTATTTTCAGACCACAGTTGTCCATGGGTAACTAAAATGACAGAAAGTGAAACTGCAAATAAGGGGACTACTATAATTTRCAAAATGACAGCATCTAGTTACTATTATGTTTACAATTCATTTAAGATGTGTGAGATTCCATTATCTTTGAAAGTTGGAAATGAAAGTATAATATTCCACAAATCATAGGGTGGGACACAACGAGGTCATAGGAGTGTGTAGAACAGGACTGGACGCTGAGGGTCTTGGGAGAGACCACTGGAATGAAATGCTGGCTTATCACCGAAAACCAATAACACACTGGCACCCCTTGCTGGAGGTAAGCTTGTGATCACCTGACTTCTGCTATTATCTTTTCAGTTTAAATATTATTTATTTGCTAACCCATATCTGACATTTTAATATATTCACCTTTTAAAAAGATTCCTCTTGCTTTTCTCCCACAGTCTCTARCATTTAAGTATTCAAAATTCTGTGTGCCATGTGGGATCATAGAAACCACTAGACTTTCTGGGCTTCATAATTGATACGCCCATAAAAACTGCAAGTCTGTCATTTTCTCACAGCCTGAAAATTCACATCAGTGAGCAGTGGAGCAATCTAGTATGTTTATTACTGAGTGGACACTGTATTTTGGTAAACAGAGATACCTTTTCCAAAGTCCCCTTCCATTTAAGAATCCTTAAATAGAGGTAATGTCATCTGTGTAAGGGTCAGGGACATCTCCCCCAGCTCTCGTCAGGAAGACCTCACAGATTTTTAAAATATCAAGGCACAAGCTTTAATGGGTGATTATTTATTGTGGAACCTAGGATAAGTGACTTGAACCTCTGAGTTTTTTCTATGGTTCTTTAATGGTAATCAACTCAGCGAAAGTAAATACTGAATACAAAGTGCTAGCAGAGTATGGCACAGTGTTAGCTCCTATGAGAACTACTGTTAATACTTACATTAATCTGTTTTTGTTGGGATTTCCAGCCATGAAATAGTTTTCAGTCTACTTGATACAGTGAATGYTGCTAGGGGGAATGACTTTCTTTCTTGTGAGCCTCCTGAAGAGTTACAAAGTAAATCATTTATAGGATTGAGAGGTAATGCAAGTTCAAAAAGGATGTCTAGTAGGTGAAGGATTTCTGCATTCAATTAAAAAATCATCATAATAGCCACATAGTATATGAATGATATATCTGCCATCTCCCCATGGATAAGATTCTGTTTCTTGTTTTCACACTAGACACTGGGTAAGAGAACAAGAGAGGTTGTACACTGTTATTGATTAAATATATCAATGGGACCAGGTTCTAATCTCAGTTTAGTCACAAAAATGTGACCTTGGCTGTGTTATATAAAACACTATAGGGTAAATTACATAAACACTGCATGCTCAGATGATAGAGGAGAACTGTCATCACAGATATGTTTATATATATATATATATATATATATAAATGTTTTGAGTCTTTACCTAACTTCATAATTTAATGTAAATCATAAAAGACAAATGCACAGAGAGAACCCCAGTCACATGCAATTTTCCAACTGGAGGGTTTCAGAAGTAGAGACAGATGCATTCTCTGAAAAGCTTGTCTTAGGTTGTATTTCCTTTCAGTGGTAGGTACTGTCTGAAGTCTATTCTGATTATTGTAGAATTACTGTCCATTCCCTGCTTCTAATCTTGCTTTTTTTTTTTTAACGTTTGAACAGTGAACATCAGTTCTAAGAATCTAGAAAGGAGAGCACTCACCTGCCTAGTGCAGTGCTTCTCCTCTCTGCCCCCATAAAAATCACCTCCTGCCTTAGAGCAAGTGGAACACACGCTTTTGTGTCTAGAACTTCTTATTGCTCTTATGCAGCAATTACTGTCACTATAGTAAATCATTATTTTATAAAAAGAACTAAAAGCTTGTCACAAAACGTGAAATTATTCTGCACTCATAAATAGTTGCTGTTCAGTGCTGCTTCAGGTCCCATCTAAATGGCATGCTCTGTGTACATCTCTGAAATGTTTGTTTCCCCTCATTCTACCTGAAAAGATGAGTTCTGAAGGATAGGAGAGCTCCTACAGCTTCTCTTCAGAGGCTTGCATGTCATGGGTAAACATTTCCTATTAAAAGGAAGCATCAGCCAGGTACAGTGGATTGGGAGGCTGAGGCAGTAGGACAGCAAGTTCAAATCTAGTCTCAGCAAAATCAAGGGTCTAAKCAACTGAGTGAGAGACCCTGTCTCTAAATAAAATACAAAAAACAAAGGGCTRGGGATATGGCTCGTGATCGAGTGCCCCTGAGTTCAATCCCCAGTACCCTCCTCCCCAAAAAGAGAAGCACCAATTACCCATTGTATTTTTTCTGCATGAGGTCAAATAAAATTACTGTTTTTCAGCTACCTGGCCGGGCAACCAGTTTTGATAGTCAAGGATCCTGCTCTTCTCCCAAACCACCTTCCACACCATAATGCCTCCAAAATAAGACCCTTATGATAAGGACCTAAGATCATGTGCTTATTGGATCAGAAAAAAAAAGTGGAAGGTTTGATTGATTTCCTCATTTAAGATATATCCATGTTAATGAGCAAACTTGATGTGTACTTTTTTTCATTTACTTCTTTTCTGTTTTATAACTTTGAACATCTTAATACGTTTTACTTGAAAACAAATAGTCCTTAGTTAAATAAGGCATTTTATCCTTCATGTTATATGCCTATTAGCACAAAGAGTGTTTTGATATGTTGTAATCTTTGCATAAGCAAAGAAATACGTTTTTAAAAATGAATCTTCATGTATCTAAAATTAAACATAGTTCATACTGCTGTTGTATAAAGTAGTACATGTCTCATAAATGTGGTTTTGATTTTGTTCAACTGTGTTCCTTTCATGTGTACATGATTCCATATAACTTTTAAATGGACATTTTTAAACTTAATGTACCCAGCATTAAGTTCTTTCACATTCAAAATAGTATTACTTATTAGAAAATAGTTTTTTCTTTCATTCTCAGCAAATTACTTGTTGAAGTTTGGTTCTGCCAAACTGAAAACTTTGTAGCTCAAGCTTGTACTTTGAAACATACAGATAAAGCTGTAAATTTAAAGAATCATTTTGAATATAAACTCAAGAAATGATATTTAGTACTGGAAAGTGGAGGTTGAGCCTTTTTGGCTACCATTTTATAATGTCATACTGTCAYATTAGTTCAAAGATCTGCTGCACTGTTGAACTGATACTTTTAAAATTCTAATAATCTTAATCTCAACTGTAGCATTGGTATTCCTAAGTGAATAGCATCAGTTCATTTTTCAAGCATTTGTAAGATTTCAAGTACTGTGACATGTATTTCTTGTGTGTGACATGAAGCTATTATGTATATCCAGTATTTCTGATAGATCACACTAATAGACACCAAAGGTTCAACAAAACTGTCTGTGCTCATTGTCATTTAGATTATATGTAGTAACGGTGACTCTTAAACCCARTCAGAAGCTCATCATCGGAATTGGGTATTTTCTTAAACAAAGCATGACTTATTTCTCAGCAAACTATAGAAAAATACCATAGAGTGTAACTTCAACATGTAGTAAAACAAAAAATTTATTCTAAAGGCCCAGACCTCCAGTCCTTTTATGAAAGGCATTACCTTCACAAAGATTAAGGACAGGCCACTAGATGAAAAAACTATGCAAATACTTTTACAGGACAGAAATTTCCTTTTCATCAGGTCAACTTTTTTTTGGTCTCATTTCCAGGCCCCACTTAGAAGGTATTGAATTATCCCAACCTTAYTTTTGAGATGTGGTGCACTATACATAATGCATATTTCAAGTTTATCCAAAATAGAGGTTAAAAATAAAAGCAAGAAAAATTATGCTTGCAATACAAAAACAAATTCATCAGGATGAGAAAATTTATTTTCATAAAATACCTTATATAAATATTAAAAAAACATAAAATTTTACAAGCCTTGAAATTTTGTTTGTTRGCTTCTCATAAGTTGGAATTATGGTCAATTAAGCTGTAAATATTTTTCAAATTCACATTTTAAAGAAAAATACAGTCTGCCTAAAATTTTTCAAAACTGCCTATGTCATCCTAACAAATAAAAAAAATTCCTACTTAATATTTTTTCATTGAAGAAAATAGAAAAATCTATTTCAAAATACTTGGCTACCTTATCAGGCCTAAAAGAACCACTTATAGTCAGAATGACTGAAGAATGACATCTAAATTTTGGAACTCTTTTACTGAGAAATAGAAATTATCCAATGGAGGATGTACTTTTAATAAACTGACATTTTTGTAGACAATTATTTTGTTAGAAGATATAGTTATAGCCTATAGTATATTAGCAGTCATATTTCCTTTGTGAGTGTGATATGTATTTTCACCCAAAAACATATTTTAAGGACTTCTTCTTAACTCTTGAAAGCTTGTACTTTTCTTTGTTCCCTAAGGAGAAAAAGCCAATGCTTATGATGAAATAAATTTGAACTATCAGCTAATCAGGAGACTTTAATATGAGGGTTATAGATTAATATAAGTTTTAAAGAAATTTTTTTTTAAAAAAATTAAACCCTTTTTTCCCTAGGGATTAGAATAAACTCATAATGCCAGAGTTAACCCTATGGAAGACACTGAGGGAAAGAAATTCACAACTCTGCTTTCATGTCATATGTAAGGGATGCTCACCCACAAATTGATAGAGAAAAAGGAGAGTTAGGGTTCTGAAAATGTAATCGTACCACATTTAGGACAACAAACCCTGTCCTCCATATCCATACACGCCTAAYTTATCTTCTTTCAGCTTGTGATTTAAGAATGAAATACTTTTAGTTTCAGTATTTGAAATAAAGTTTGATGTTAGAAATATCCTCCACTAATTTGTGTAGGATAAACTTTACTGATAGTATTGACATATTATGAAGTTGTACTTTATATAGATATCAACTACCTAATTTCAGGGACTTATTCAGGGATTTACCAAAATATGAGTCTAGGAAAAATAAGTATTGACGCATTAGCATAACATGCCAAWGTCCTTTTTAGTTATTTGGGTTTTGTTTTTGTTTTTACCTGATTCATCAATAACCAATCAGGGRAAAGAGTAGAATGAATAAGAAAAAAATATCAAAGTTTGTAAAGTATATGTTTTTACCCCATAAAACTGAAGAGTTGATTCCTTTTTCTCACTAGTTTTAATTTTCTAAACCAGGCCATCCCTGTGTCTGGACTTTATTTTATGTGTATTAATGCATCACAGTTCAGCAACATTAGGACTAGTGCCAGGGTGGAATGGGGATGCAGAGCCAAGCACTCACCTTCTTGTGCAGTCTTGAGGAGTGTGTGCACGTTCTAGTTACTGCAGGGAGATCACAACTGATCAATACTGACTCAGGTTTTATATTACAGCAAATATATTTGGACCTATTTGGTTGTGATATTTAATTGACATTTACAGCTATGTTTATTCTCCTATAATGTTTATTATTTTAAAACTTTGCAGCTCAATAAAGAGCTACCAATCTCTTATAGTTTTCATTTGATGATTAATTACTTAAAAAATGAAACAATCGGACTTGCAGCCCTGTTCCAATTTTCACTATCCATTAAAAAAGGTAACTTATTTCAGAAAGAGTGCCCAAAAGAATCAAAGACAAAGGGACACATCTCAATACTGAACACATAGCAATTTCTTTACCTTTTCCAAAAGGCTGCTTGCTATTATTTAAGAATGTGCATTTTCATGGAATGGAGTTGGTTAGTTTTGTTGTTTGTTTTTGTTTCTTTGCCACATAAGTTGTAACTATACCCAGGTAACTCAATTACCTGGTAATTTAAAAAGAAAAATGGSGTTGATAAGAATTAAAGAAAGTCATTCAATCTCTTAAACTAAATTTGRAGAAAACATGGAGATCTGTTTCTTTTTCATCTTGTTCTTCTAGCAGCTCCCTTTGCTCTGTGATACTCTAATTGATCTTGACCTTTATAATCTGTAGGCTAAAATGTACTGCTGTCAAGGAGAAATGAGTCAAAAGACCTGGAAGTATATAATAAAGTAGGCATCTACATAATTAAATGAGAGGTAAACAAAGATCTTTAAGCCTATGGAAATAAAGATATTAAGATATATAAAACACTCCTTTGTATTTTAACTTTAGTGGACAGAAAAAAAATTCCATGACACAGCATTTAATAGTTACTCAGTGACATGGCTCAGGATATGATTCATCTGAACCTGCTGTAAGGATCTATTATTTAAAAGAAAATGATGAGTTTATGTTTTTCATAGGAAACAGGGATAACTAAAAAAAAATGCTGTTTCCAATATGTTATTCAGTGTTACCCTTTTAGGTAAGAATTTTCTCTCATAAGACACCTCTGTATTTATTCAGTATTCTGTTGATTAAAATAAATTGTAATTGAATAAAAGATGTATTGATMATTAATTACTTGTCATCTGTCATTAATAGTAAACCAAAAAGATGTGTATTTGAACAGTGGCATTTAACATTTGGCTAAAGTATATTCTCTTCAAAGTAAATGCTCATTTTACCATGTTCATTATGAAACAAGAAACCAAAATTTGATTTGGTAGCCTGACAACATCAGGCTACAGAGACTCAGAGTAAGACCGCACTAAATTAAGGGCTGAGGTGGGAYTTAATGATTTATTTAATTCAATCACTTTGAATAGTAGAAACAGTGATTGAAAAATAAATAGATGTTTAAGAAAGAAAAAAGAGGTTTCTCATGCCTGAGATGATTTGAATATACTCCTGCCAGGAATAATTGATTAAATCAATTCTGTTTTTACCTATTCTAACACCAGAAAGGGTTTGTTATTTATAGATACATTTTATTTGGAAATATTTTAATCTCAAACCCAAAATAATTTCTTCTATAAACTCACCTAGACCATAAGAACCCTCCTCAAAGATTTGAACTATGCCTGACCTTATTACCAGAGTGTAAAAATAGGTCATTTCTTCTGAAATTTTGCTGAGTTGCACCCGCTGTGCACAGAGTTTATTTACTGTACAAGATGGTGAGTTTTACTCAATTTCATGTGTTTTTGTTCCCTCAAAAACAAACTATTGAATATTAGTGTGTATCATTTTGAATCCCAAATTGTCCTGTAAGCCTCAAGATTGGAAGGTTAAAACATTAGGTAYCTTTGTCACCTTTCTAAATTGTTTTGTATTCACCCCATCTGAATAACATTATAGAGACTGTTATTTGGTTATGATTTTGCTTTAACATAAAGTTGTGGACTCCAAAATAACTATGATCTCTAAGATCATGTACAAACTGGTCAAATAATCATTCTCTATTGCAGACTGCATATTTTATCCTAGTTATATTCATGTAGATCATCTTAATCGGTTCATTATAATTTCTATTGTTTTCTTTTRAAATATTCTTTAAGCTTTCCATTTAAAGAACACAGTAGTCTCCAGTGTGAAGAGCTTCACAAACTCTATTACTGAATAAATAAAAAGCAGGTAGAACAACTCTAATATATAAAATATTTTCATTTATACCTTGTTTGATAAACAAAAAGTCCAACACCCAAGTTGTTATCATTGGCATAAGCTTATTATCAATGTCTCCAACTAAGAGCAGTGATTGACTTTATCTGCAAATACAGAGAAATTACAGACTGCAATTARGTGAAACCATAATTTCAGAATGAAGAATAAAGAAGTCAAAATAGAAAGGAACTGCCTCATGTTGTACTTGGGATGATTCCACTCATCCCTCTTCCCCCAAAATGGATATTTATCAATTATTCTATACTGGCAGGAACTACTAAAATTCATTTCACACATCAAATAATTTAGATCCAACATATCTGATCTTTCTTTATATTCTTCAGTCATTGTTCATAAGTGACTTTTTAACTGAAGTTTGTGGTTTAATACTTAGCCATTGTTCAAATCAGTATCTTTGACTTCCATAGTATAGAACAAAAATTTTAAAATCTTTTGAAATTCATGTTTCTGGCTTTTGTACCTGGTAACCAGCCATTTGTGAAACTTGACAGCATAAAATTGTATAACTTAGAACAAATGTTTTTGCAACCACCTTTAAAAGATGTTACACACTGCAGTATTTTTACAATGTCTTCTTTGGAATGTGTGAACATATTTGTCAGGTTCAGATGAATTACGTAACAATGAAACCTCAAAGCTGTTATGAAGTATAGTTTGTGATTTTTTGTAACAGAAAATGGAAAAGCACTTGAAATATAATTTTATTGTTTCATATGTATTTTGAAAAAGAAATAAAGTGATTACAAATTATTTTTKTCTGTCTTTGAAGACAATTTTTCCAGATTTAATTTTGGGACCTYTGTTAAGTTTTCCTTTAATGTAAATTATTCTTGGTACACATTAATAGTGCAGTCATTCATTTTTCAATCAATCAATAACTCAAGGACTGATGATAGTTCACAGCCCTGCTATAATACACACTATTGAGGAGCATAAAGGTGTGACATCATAAGAGCCATGGCTGATACTCCTGTAATGAAAGAAAGTRAAGAAGAAAAAAAGCATTAGCAAACTTTTTAAATCAAAGTTTTACAGAGCAGACTTATTTAATCAAAGTTTTTACACTGTTAGAGCACTTGACTGGCACTTGGGGATGGGATAGGGTGCTCTGGATTGGATCCTAAATATCACAAAAGAAAGAAAAATTCACATAATGAGAGCCTGTAGATATATAGACTCAAAGACCCAGAAAAAAAATCTATATTTTAATTTAATGAAGAATAGACAGCAGAGTAGAAATGTGATTGGACACAAAGGGAAATGGTAATTGGCTGAGAG